ACACTGACAAAATAAAGTAAAAATTTTAAAAAAAGGTATATCACCTTGGGGAATTAAGGGTTTGGCTTTCATCTGTACAGGTCCCGAAAAATTAGTACCTCGTATCTATTCAGAGGCTTTAATAAGTACTGGGAGCTTTCTGAGTGTTCTATTCTGCCCGGCAGTGGTAATCCAGGAGTTCAATGGGCACAGTCCTCACCCTGACTTCATTGACCGCCTGGCTGGGGGGAAGAGTCCATTCAACAAGCCTTTCCACTGGAAAGCTGGACTGGTTTGGGGTGAGAAGGACGACATGCTAGGGATGGATAACTTGCTACACCCCAGACACTTGGCACCAGAGGGGCTTCCTGGAGGGACCACGCAGAATATGTTCTCTCCAAAACACAGCCCTCAGGCCTGATTTACAAAGTCAAAAAGTCCCTTTATTAACAATAAGCAATGAAAGTGGTTCACTGGAGGGAAAGGTACACATCTCTACATTCTCTCTCTAGATAAATTCATATTAGGCATGAGGAGGATGAGGCCTCCGTCCCCACCCTAGGAATTAAGCTTGTGAATAGGGCCATTATTTTTGAATTTCTCTTTTTTTTGGAACAAGATTCTCTCTCCCCCAAACTCCACAGGAATGGCTTTGTCAGTCAGGCTTCCCTGACTCACCGTTTTCTCAGTTTCTAATCTTCTTCTTCATTTTTTAAAAAAGATTTTATTTATTTATTTGACAGACAGAAATCACAAGTAGGCAGAGAGAGGGGGAAGCAGGCTCCCTGCTGAGCAGAGAGCCCGATGCGGGGCTCAATCCCAGGACCCTGAGATCATGGGGCTCAATCCCAGGACCCTGAGATCATGACCTGAGCCGAAGGCAGAGGCTTTAACCCACTGAGCCACCCAGGTGCCCCTCGGTTTCTAATCTTCTAATAGAAACACTGCTTCTTTAGATTTGTCAATACCTTTGATCATGTTATAGGGTATTGTTGGGGAAGAAGATTTTCCCTCTATCCTGCAACATTCTTCTAGCTAGTCTGAGAATCAAACTGACAAAGGACAGATTAACAGGAGAAAATAATTTTTTTAAAGATTTTATTTATTTATTTATTTGACAGACAAATCACAAGGAGGCAGAGAGGCAGGTGGGGGCGGGGGGAAGCAGGCTCCCTGCTGAGCAGAGAGCCCAATGCTCGATCTCAGGACCCTGAGATCATGACCTGAGCCACAGGCAGAGGCTTACCCCACTGAGCCACCCAGGCGCCCCTAAAATTTAATTATATACATATGAGGAATCAACACAGACATGAGCGTCCAAAGACAGACAAAATGAAGTATAAAGGAACTCCTGAACCAAGAAGAGAGTAGGGGTCTAGAACTTCAAAGGGAAGGAAAGCAACTTTCATGAAGAGGAAAAAATAAATGTTTGGTAAACAAGCATTTGGTGGGCCACCCACACAATGGGACACAAAGAGGAATTTGATCAAACAGGCTTGCTGGGTTCCTTCCTGTCTGCCATACCTAGTTCTTGTCTAATACAGTTACTTACGGTGCTAGCTCTCTCTCAACAGGTCCTCCGGATTCTTTTAGGCAGTTAGGAATAAGTAAGAAGGTTTCTTCCTGAGTGTTTTTGGCCATTAGTTATTTTCAACTTGAAATAATCTGCACATTAAAGTGGCACATTTTGGAGGAGCTTGCCCTTGTCCCTTATAGTTTGATGAGGTCTGTAATTTACTGTCAGCAAAAAGTGTTGTAGTAGTAGTAGCAGCAGCAGCAGCAGTGTGTGTGTGTGTGTGTGTGTGTGTGTGTGTGTGTGTGTGTGTTGCATTAAATTAAGGGCTGGCAATGACTCAGGACTTGACCCACCAGGGGTGGTCAGCTGTGTTAATCATGGAGTCCATATTCCATGTTACAGCTACAAGTGCTTCTGTCAGTCATAGCTCATCAAACCAGCAGCTTTGCTAAGTAGCAGAATGAAGGTTAGAAATTGGTTTTCAGGGGCATCTCGGTGACTCAGTGGGTTAAGCCTCTGCCTTCAGCTCAGGTCATGGTCTCAGGGTCCTGGGATCAAGCCCCGAATTGGGCTCTCTGCTCGGCGGGGAGCCTGCTTCCCCTCTCTCTCTGCCTGCCTCTCTGCCTACTTGTGATCTCTCTCTGCCAAAATAAATAAAATCTTTATTAAAAATAGAAATTGGTTTTCATTGGTGGAATTAGTAGTTTGTTAGTGTAACAGGTGAGAGAAGTGGGCTCGAATTGGTAAAATCGGTAATACTCAAGACTTGTGTTGTTCGGAGTATGTGAGACTCTTGTCACCCTTGCACTGACAGGACATAAGAGCCTAGCAAGTTGGAAGTCTGTTCCCTTAGGGATGATACTGTAGGCTAAACATCTAAATGGCCCTGTGTCCAGCTATGTACTCTGAGAGTTCCAGCTCCCCGATAATGTTTAGGAGGCCAACAGAATCCTCTCTCTGTAATCATGGTAAGTCTACTCTGACTGCCTTGCTTTTCTTACAAAATGATTGTCAGAGCACGTGAAACAACAGAGAGCTGGGACATCCCTGAACTTACTATTCATAAAAACTATTTTGGGTGCTGGGTGGCTCAGTCGTTAAGCGTCTGCCTTCAGCTCAGGTCATGATCCTAGGGTCCTGGGATCGAGTCCCGTATTGGGCTCCCTGCTCAGCGGGAAGCCTGCTTCTCCCTCTCCCTCTGCCTGCCTCTCTGCCTACTTGTGATCTCTGTCTGTCAAATAAATAAATAAAATCTTTAAAAAAAAGTAAAGCTCGGGGCGCCTGGGTGGCTCAGTGGGTTAAAGCCTCTGCCTTCAGCTCAGGTCATGATCTCAGGGTCCTGGGATTGAGCCCCGCAACGGGCTCTCTGCTCGGCGGGGAGCCTGCTTCCTCCTCTCTCTCTCTCTCTCTCTCTCTCTGCCTGCCTCTCTGACTACTTGTAATCTCTATCAAATAAATAAAATCTTAAAAAAAAAAGTAACGCTCACTATGTTATGTATGTTTTCTAGGTTAAATTAAAAAAGTGTTTATCTTTCTTAGTAGCTGCGTGGTGTTTGTGCCATTATTTAACTACTATACATTTTGACACTGAACTCCCTGAACAGGTTAGAAAAAGCATTACCCCTACTTTATTATGCATCTTGTTGGGAATTTTACCCTTAAGAAGGTGAGGCATGGGGCGCATGGGTAGGCATGGGGCACATGTGTGGTTCAGTCCGTTGGGCAGCTGGCTTCGGCTCAGGTCATGATCCCAGAGTCCTGAAATTGAGCCCCACATAGGGCTCCCTGCTCAGCAGGGAGTCTGCTGCTTCTTCTGACCCTCCCCCCTCTTGTACTCTCTCTCTCAAATAAATGAATAAAATCTTAAAAAAAAGGTGAGGTATGGTGGCTGAGACCATCAACTTTATACAGAATCTGGCTATGGGTTCATTACCTACTGCTCTACTTTTGAAATCTCAAAGCTGGACTGAGGTGTTCTGCCCATGAGATAAAATACTGATACTTTCCCCAAATTTACAGAAATAATTAAAATTGATAGATGTAATTTCCACAATATTGAAATTTACTCTCATGTGTATTATTACATTTTTAGCACCTGCTACCACTGTCTTGTATTTAACTTTAATAAAAAACAGTAGGGGCGCCTGGGTGGCTCAGTGGGTTAAAGCCTCTGCCTTCAACTCAGGTCATGATCTCAGGGTCCTGGGATCAAGCCCCGCATGGGGCTCTCTGCTCAGCGGGGAGCCTGCTTCCCCTCTCTCTCTGCCCGCCTCTCTGCCTACTTGTGATATCTCTGTCAAATAAAAAAATAAAATATTAAAAAAAAACAGTAAAGAATTTACAAAAATTTCATAAAGAGTTATGTAATATATCAGAATTTCATGAGGGTCCGTGACTTTCAGAGGCTCAAGTCATTAGAGATCTAGTTCTATCAGATGGAAATGGAATATTCCTGAGCAAAACTGCACCCCCTGCCCCAATCCTGTCAAGAGAAAAAAAAAACAAACCGATTCAGCAAACCGATTTGTTGTTGTTTTTAAAGATTTTATTTGACACAGAGAGAGAAAGGGAACAAGCAAGGGGAGTGGGAGAGGGAGAAGCAGGCTTCCCGCCGAGCAGGAAGCCGTGTGGGGCTGGAGCCCAGGACCCCGGGGATCACAACCTGAGCCGAAGGCAGACACCTAACGACTGAGCCACCCAGGCGCCCCGCTAACGTCATTTGTTTAAAAATTTCAGTAACGAAACGACTACAGGAGAAAACAGGATACATTCGACATGTATTAAGCGCCGACTAAGAGTGGAGAACTATGCTAGAAGACCCGGTGGTTCAGCCAAGGTGAAAAGGACGCAGCCCCCACCTCGCAGGAGTTCAGGGCAGGTAAATGGTGCTGAGCGCTCTGGTGGATGATTAAGGCTCAGAGCAGGTGTCCCAGCCAGAAACCTCAAATTCTGAAAGCCATTACATCTCTCCCGCCTTGAAAGTCACAATTTCCCCTTATCCCTAATCATTTGGGTTCAATTCCGAAGAGGAGCAACAGAAACAAAAACACAACAACATGTCCCCACTCCTGCTCCCTCCCAAACACGGGACAATTCTAAACTTTTCCCTCAGGATAATCAAGAGTACTTTCCGGTACCAGTACATCGCTTCCAGAAAACTACAAGTCCCAGTAGGCTGCACGCGCAAGCCGGCGGACACTCTCCCCCCGTTCAGAACACCGCCTTACGCTCCAATCCTGAGCAGGGCCTGCGAGTCGTGGCCGCGAAGCCTGCTGGGACTTGTAGTCCGCTTCAGATTCTTTTTTCCTGTCTGCGCAGACTCGCACGGCCTGTGTTCGCCCTTCGGCCCTGCAGAAGCCCAGCCCAGACTTCAATGCTCCCCACCCCCATTCCGCTCCATCCCCTCGGGGGCCAACCTCCTCCGGTCACGTGGGAAGCCATTCATGCGGCGATTGGCCGTGGGGGTTCAGGGGCGGGGCGCGGGGGCCCTGAAAGGTTCCTTGCCCCCTTGTAGGGCCGCTTGTTTGGCTGCTGCCGTCACCTCATGGCGACGCGGCTAGAAGAGGCAGCGCGGGGTAGAGGCGGCGGCGGCGCCGAAGAGGCTATTGAGGCCGGACGGGGCGGACGGCGACGCAGCCCGCGGCAGAAGGTCAGTCTGGGAAGCGTCTGCGTTGTTGTCCGGCCGGGGAAATGCCCGGGCTAGATTTTTCGGGGTCCACATCTTCACTCTCTCTGGTTACCTTTAGCCACGGGACGAACATCCGGCCTTCTTCCTTCCCGGGGGTGACGACAGCGGGAGCGGGTCGGGGGGGATTTGGGACTGATATGGATGGGATAGGAGGGAGCGAAGGTTGGGGTTTTGGGGCGCGCGACAGAGGTGGGAGAGGGCAGGGGGCGCAGCCTGGTGTGAGGGAGAAGGGGTGCGAGGCGGGGGCGCGCCAGGTGTGACAGCCACGTGCGGCGGATGCCGGGGAACCCCGGGCGCCAGGTGTTCCTTCTCCTAGCCCCCGCCCTCGGCGTGCTCTCCGTGCTCCCAGCGCAGTCGGAGGGCTACCTGGGTCAGGGGCTGGCCCTGCTCTTGCCCGGCAGGTGCGCAGGGCGCGCTGCGGGGTGCGCCCGGGCGGCGCGGGCGAGGCTGTTGCGCAGTAAGATAACAGCGCGGGAGCTGGGGTTGCACTGCGCCCCCCTTCCCCCGCCCCCCTGCGCTCCCCGCCACTGCGCGGGCGGGCGAGCTCCACGGGGCTGGAGGAGCCACTCGGCTCCCGGGTCACAGGGCTCGTCTCAGGGCACTACGGGCCTGGTTACACGTGGGACCGGGACCCGCGATGGGAAGACGCTGCTGGTGGACCTGGGTCCCACAGGGTTGGGGGCAGCATCGCGTGATAGCCGGTCTTCCCCTTTAGTCCTCTCTCCCCTTTCTTGCTCTTTCTTTATTTACCCTCCTTTCTTTTCTTTCTTTTTTTGGGGGGGTGAGCGGAAACTTGAGCGCCTCCCCCACCCTGGCCTTTGGTCTCTCTTAATCTGGGAGACAGGCTGGACCGTTCCCCTTGCCTTACTTGACTCACGTCAAGGAGTTTTCAGTGTCTCCCTGGATACAGGAAAATCGAGACCTTCAGAATGGGAGAATTCCACTTGTTCTGGAGTCAGTGGGTGGAGTTCGAAAAAGATTGCACAACAAATGGGGTACAGGGCTTTCAGGGCCCAGGAATGGAAATCCGTGGGGAAAGGCGCTGGAAAGGTGGAAATCCCGTCTCTTTTTCCTTACAGTGGAACCTATTGAAACGTTCAACTTGTTGGACGTCCTGCCTTGATCACTCACCTATTTAATATTACTTAATTATGCATTTGAATACTCTCAAAAATCACTCCTGTGTGAAATTATGAAATAATATTTTTCTTATGAGATTTATGAGCTTGAAAAAGGAGAACAAAACTTTGGTTTACATCTGAGCAGTGTCAAGAATTGGCTTTAAGGGGCCTCTTTCTAAGGTGGATATTTTCATATCTCCCTGCATAAGGGTATTACTACTTCTCAGTTACCTCTCTTTCTCTTTCTTTCTTTGTACTCTAAAATAAAGATCCAGTACTTGAAGGACTGAAAAAAAAGCTGTGGATTGAATGTACTCTAGGGTTTCAAAACTGTCACTTTGGACACTTCATTTATTCCCTGAGGGTGGGGAGCCAATCTCAGTGTTTGATTTCATAGGTCCCCCAGGGGAGGACTCCGATAAAAAGCCACTGCAATTGAGGACATAAGTTCCCGTTTATGCCACTAGGATAAGGACCGAAAGTCTGAATTAGGAACTGAGGTTTAATCAACTAGCATTTTAAAAGACCGAGATAAGAGGTAATGACCCTTTGAGGCAGCTCTCTGGGGAACAGCTGGACATGCATAGTCATGTGTGTCTGTACTGTCTCATTTTTGTTTTCTTAGCTCCTGTACCTTTTTTCTTTTGCTCATGTTTTTCTGGGCATCTTCTTCCTTTTGATTTACAATTGGCTATGACCTGGAATTGAAATACTTGGATTGAATATTAGTTTTTGAATTTTCGTTTTAAAAAATTGGGTGACTATCTTGTGTCTGTGAAACTTATTTCTTTATGACTCCTAATTTTTTTTATTTCCTCTGGGTTACCAGCTTGAAAGAATATTCCTAATTCTAACTTGACTTGTACTGTATTTTTTCAGGAAGCAGAAATGATATTTAACTAATTGGAATGTTTTGAAAATACTGAGGGAATTAAAGAAGAGTGACTGTTTAGTCACTGACTTAAAGGGAAAAACAACTGGAGACAGGCTTTATTGGCTCCTAGTTGTTTGAACCATCCACTTAGTCATTCTTCACCAGCTCAGTTAATTGTGGCATCGTTTCATAACTACATCCCATTTGAATGGTCTCTTGAGGTAACTCTTTTCTTCTGAAGTTAATTTTATAGTACATTTCTAAGGGTCTCTTGAATTGTCTAAAACTGTGCTATCTGATATGATACCTACTAGCTGCATATTTAATTGAAATTAAGTTAGGGGTGCCTGGGTGGCTCAGTCGGTTAACCTTTGGCTTGGGTCCTGGGATTGAGACCTACATCAGGCTCCCCATTCAGCCCTTCTGCCCTCTGCCCTTCACCCTACTCGTGCTCTCTCGCTCGTTCTCAAATAAATAGATAAAATCTTTAAAAAAAAATTAAATAAAAATAAATATTCCATTCTTCTCTCATACTAACCACATTTCAAGGGTTCAGTAGCCAATATGGCTAGTGGCTACTGTGTCAGAGCAGATCCAAAATATTTACAACATTGCATAAAATTCTGTCGGACGACATCTAAAAAGATGGAATATATATTGTCAAGTATTAGAGGCATTTTTTAGAACACCAAGGGCATGGGGCGCCTGGGTGGCTCAGTCATTAAGTGTCTGCCTTAGGCTTAGGTCATGGTCCTAGGGTCCTGGGATTCAAGCCCCACATGAGGCTCTCTGCTCAGCAAGGAGACTGCTTCTCACTCTCCCTCTGTTCCCCCTATTTGTGCTCACTCTCTGTCAAATAAATAAATAAAATCTTAAAATAAATAAATAAAAAAAAACCCAAGGTCATTACTGTGTAAATTTCTTTTTTTTTTTTTTAAGATTTTATTTATTTATTTGACAGAGCGAGAGATCACAAGTAGGCAGAGAGGCAGGCAGAGAGGAAGGGAAGCAGGCTCCCTGCTGAGCAGAGAGTCCAATGTGGGGCTCTATCCCAGGACCCTGAGATCGTGACCTGAGCCGAAGGCAGAGGCTTAACCCACTGAGCCACCCAGGTGCCCCTACTGTGTAAATTTCTATGTAGAATTTGTTTTAGGAGATTTAATTAAAAATTAATAGACACTGTTTTTTGAGCAGTTTTAGCTTACAGAAAGATTGAATATCAATTATAGAGTTCCCATATATTCCTTCACACATTGTTTCCCCTGTTATTTACATCTTGCATTAGTGTGGTGCATTTGTTAGAATTGATGAGCTAATATTGATACATTGACATTAACAAATGTCCATAATTTGCATTGGGGTTCATTCTTGGTATTATACAGTTTAAGAGGTTGGGTTTTTTTTTTTGTTTGTTTTGTTTTTTTTTTTAGATTTTTATTTATTTTTTTGACAGAGATCACAAGTAGGCAGAGAGGCAGGCAGAGAGAGAGGGGGAAGCAGGCTCCCTGCTGAGCAGACAGCTCAATGCGGGTCTCGATCTCAGGACCCTGAGATCATAACCTTAGCCGAAGGCAGAAGCTTAACCCACTGAGCCACTCAGGCACCCCCGGTTTAAGAGTTTTGACAAATGTATAATGACCTGCATCCACCATTACAGTATCCTACAGAATAGTTTTCACTGCCTTGAAAATCCCCTACTTATCCCTCCTTGATAGCCATTGATCTTTTTACTATCTGTATAGTTTTGCCTTTTCCAGAAAGTCTAAGGTAGGTTTGATTTGGTTTTTAATACTAGATTTTTAAAAAATTTTATTTATTTATTTGACAGCACAAGCAGGACGAGCAGCAGGGAGAGGGAGAAGGAGGCTTCCCACTGAGCAAACAGCCTGATGCGGGGCTCGATCCCAGGACCCTGGGATCTTGACCTGAGCCAAAGGCAGAAGCCTAACTGACTGAGCCATCCAGGTGTCCCTTAATACTAGATTTTTGATGGGGAATGTTAAAAATGATCGAATTGCTGTTAAACTTATTTATAGGGGCACCTGGGTGGCTCAGTCGGTTGGGTGCCTGCCTTTAGATCGGGTCACGATCTCAGGGTCTTGGGATCGAGTCCTATATCAGGCTCTCTGCTCAGCGGGGAGCCTGCTTCTCCCTCTTCTACTCTTCCTGCTTGTGCTCTCTTTTGCTGTCTCTGTTGCTATCTCTGTCTCTCTCTCTCTCAAATAAATAAAATCTTTTTTTTTTTTTTAATAATTTTATTTTTTATAAACATATATATATATATATTTTTTCCCCCAGGGGTACAGGTCTGTGAATCTCCACGTTTACAAACTTCACAGCACTCACCATAGCACATACCCTACCCAATGTCCATAACCCCCCCCCAACCCCCCTCTGCCCAGCAACCCTCAGTTTGTTTTGTGAGATTAAGAGTCACTTATGGTTTGTCTCCCTCCCAATCCCAACTTGTTTCATTTACTCTTCTCCTACCACATTAACCCCCCATGTTGCATCTCCTCTCCCTCATATCAGGGAGATCATATGATAGTTGTCTTTCTCCGATTGACTTATTTCGCTAAGCATGATACCCTCTAGTTCCATCCATGTTGTTGCAAATGGAAATAAATAAAATCTTTAAAAAATATTTTTAGGTCCGTAAACCATTTGGAAAGGATAAAGGTATGTAACCAAGGCTCAAATGAACAAAATCTTGTATCTACATAGCGACCCATAATTTTTACAGCGCTATTTGCACTTTTGTTAACTCTTAAGCATCACTGGATGCTGTGGAGAAGGCTGGAGGAACTGTCATTGCCCTCATTTACAGATGACAAACTGCTCAGCAAGGTCAAGTGATTTGCCCAAGGGGTGAAGCCAAGTCTAAAAACCAATACCCTGTCATCTAGACTACGGTAATAAGTAGTGTACTAGTGGGTGAATAGTATGGATTTTGGAGTCAAGACTCT